AGTTGTCGTCGTAGTCGTGATTTTCACGTTCTTCCGCCGTATAAAAATTGTCTCACGTCTCGCGTCGCACACCGGAACGTTAAGTTGCTACAGCTATGCCACGTACCTCCACGTATGTATATACACATCTGCACGTATTTCACTCGTTGCGATACATACATATTATACGTGTATGGACTTTTATACATTTTCGAGTTTCAATAACCAAAGGTTTTGCAAAATTTATATTTGAGAATGTATACAATGGTGTAAAACTGTATAGCTGCGCGTAAGAGTTAAAAAAAAAAAGGAAAAGAAAAACAGGGGGATCTTATCAAGCAGGCATGGAATAATCAGCGGTAGGACACGGGAAAGCCAGAACATTGTTGGGGGAAGAGGGAAGATTGTAGGCGGTGCAGTGCAAAGGCTCGTTTATTCCGTTTCGGTGGAGACGCGAGCAGATGGAGGAGGGGAGAAGATGAAAACGGAACACCATCCCCAGAGAGACGATTAAATGGCAACCGTGAAAGGGAACAACTAAACCGTCTGTGCCTCCTCGATTGCGCGAAGGGAAGAAGGTGCACGAAGGTGGTCGCAATTGCGCTCCCGTGCGATACCGGGCTCGCGCGAGTTTTCGACGAACGGATAGCTACCGCGTTCCTCCGATTGGATACTTTCTGCGAATTGTCTCCTGCTTCCCGAGCTATCCTCGCCATCAACATTTACCACTCGGTGGTCGCGTGCTTTTTTTTGAAGAATGGTTCATCAGTGGTGGCAATGAAAAAAAAAAAAAAAAAAAATCCGTGGAATGCTCGAAAGGGAAAAAATTCCCCCGTGCGTGGGGTGTGATGGAGACGGAGCCTGTGCGCGCGGATATTTTCGGATGTTTACCAAAAAGCTCGGGCGTTCCGCCTTCACGCATCGCTACGCGGAAAAATACATGCCGAACGAGCAGAGTCCGAGAAAGAGACCAATTTATTTTTGGGATCACCTTCAATGATACGTATGGTGTACACGCAAAAAATAAAAAAACGAATGTACCCGAGTGCCGAAGAAATTTCCATCAGAAGAGCGTATATTATTGCTCAATCGTCACCAAATCCGAAAAATTCGCTCACTTCCTTCGACAACCGATGTCGTATCGATCGTCTCCATAAAAACTCACTCCTCGTGGAGATATCTCAGGGCGCACTTGCAACTCGATTTGTCGGACCACTCGAACTCGTACCAAAATTTCGCCACAATCCCAACGAGCCACGTAGCCAAAATATACATAGCGAAGGCGAAAACGTACAACTCGACGTAACAGTGCGGCGCCTTGTTTTTATTGTTTTCCCGTTCCTCGGGTTCGACTGTTTCCGGCCCCAGACCACATGGATCCTTCGGTTTTGGGTTCTCCTCGGCCTTCCTGCATTAAAAACAGAACTAAAATCCATCACGCGAACGTATGTCGCGAAAAAAAAAGAATCCTGCGTCTCTAGCAAAAAAAGCCTTGACCTACTTTTTACACCGGCAATTCAATCTCGCACCAACTGTAGGAGCGCCCGCGATGCCCAAAGGCGTTTTTTTCACGACCGTACCTGGCTCCCTCGAGGCCTTACAATTAAAACGACGGCCTTCGCGAGGTATTGGGTTACTTCCATTGCCGCCCCGCTCGTCATCGTCGTCTCCGTCATCCTTTCTACTTTGCGAGATTATCTTTTTGCAAATTCACCCGTCCATACCGCCGGCGAGCTGGATTTCGTTTTGCGTTTATTTTCTTTGCCGATTTCTCCTTGGGGCAGACTATCGAATTTGGTATTTTTTTAATTATCGCCGAGCGAAATAAACTAGATCGGTTGCGAGTAGGGTTGAAAATAACGGGGTTACCGATTTTTTCGTGTTTTGACAGGTTATGGGATTTGCTTTGTTTTCCACTATTGACATGTTTATAAGTGAGAAAAGTACTCAATCGCTGTACATGGAACACAACTAAAAAAATTTAAATCTGTTCATCGATCGATGGGATCGTTATTGATGCTTTACCGCTCGATAATTTAAAATTGATCCAAAAAAGAGTATTCAAAGTCACCCAGGTAGGCACAGCAGCTACCTACTTCTCCGCGTTGCTTGTATACCAAAAAATCGGCACTTCCCCATCGAAAACAGAGGCAGGACAATATCCTATACACGTGTGGAATATATATATGTATATATGTACGTATAGGATACAGTCACAACATCGAATAAGGGGTCATCGTTCTCGCGCGGGTAAACCTGTATGTTCATATACACATCGCAGTGCTCCCCTCTCCAGCAGTGTATACGTATTATATCCTTGGAGGTGCCGAGAGTCGGATGGATGGGGATTCGCCGTTACAATAAGGTATACCATACGCGCCCCAGACGCCATCGTCGTGTGTTTAGTTTATCCAGAGGTATACATCTGTCATGTTGGTGATGGAGCCAGTGTTGTGGTGTTGATAAATACTGTGATTCGAGATCGGTAGCGAGCAAACGATGATCAATCCCAACAGGTGGTTGCTGCTTCTTCAAGTGGTTTTGACATGCGGTGAGTTTTTTGTCACGGCGTTCATGCTTATAAGCTTTCACTTTTTTTTTTGTTCCGTGCGACTCGTTTGGCCGGTGCAAGACCTCTCGAATTATAATCAAGGTTCTAGTAATATCAAACATAATAATTCTATCCATTCAAAATACTTATTTGTTATGAAATTAACGTAGATAAGCGTACTTTTGTTTTGATGATGGATGTGTGATTCCTTTGGGTGATCGGTAAGCTAAACCCTTACCGATCGACTTGAAAATCGTATAAATTTGACCGGAACCAAAAGCGTAGAGCGAAAAAAAAAAAAAAAAAAAAAATGCTAAATAACAAGAAACAACGCAATCCTGGCTTTATAATGTGCGCACATATGATGCGGCAGTGGCAACCGGAAACGCGCTGCGGCTGGCGGCTTACATTTCGTCGGGGGGCCTACACGGGGAAATCCGATTCGAGCCGGCTGGCAGCAGCCCAGCTTCGGCGGTTCGGATTCGTTTGGCTCTGAAGCCGACCCTCCAATACCCGGATCAGCAGTGGCAATGGCACCTCACCGAGTTCCCGGTCGACTACACCGCTATTCAGAATCGCTGCGACGAGCGGTACCTTGGGAAAAGGTACTACTCGACAATATACACATTATAATATGGCGTGGGCACCTTTTAAGCTTTTTTTTCCTCTCTTTTTTCTAATAATTAACGTTCCGTTGAAGCATCGTCAATCTGACGAAGATTGTGGGCCCGCTCGAGTTCCCAGGCAACGAGACCGGCTCGGTCGAGGTTGCCGATCTCCACCTCTCGGGTGAAAAGGGCCTCTGGGGCAGGGGCCTTCACCTCCAGGACAATCTCAGCGGACGCGTCATTTGCTCGTCGATAACGGTAACAAAAGAATAATTCAATGTCGATCGACCCACTAAATGATAAAATCAATACTGGTACAGGTAGTGGACCGCAACTCGGAAAAGTTGGCAGAGGCCCGGTTCAACGGACCGGTAGCCGGCTCGATATGGCTGCGGTGGCTGGGCGCGGGCGGTCAGCCGGGCGACAGCGCCGTCGACACGATCATCCACGCGAGTCTCCAGCACACCGGGGACCAAAAGTCCGAGGGGCCCTACACCACCGAGCACCACTGGAAGTTCTACGTCACCGACATACTCGACAGCAGTAAAGGTATACATATCGCTCTGTTTGACAACGAAAAATAAATCGAAGCGAAAATAATAATCATCCACTGTAGAGCGCGCCTCCTGCAACATCCTGCAAACGGTCTTTGACCCGGACGACGCTGGACCGGAAAAATCGATCGGCGACGTGGACTCGCGGCTCGGCAAGATCCGCGTGGCTTCGCGCACGAGCCCGGGTTTCAAGAGCGCCTTCCGGGACCCGGAGCTCGCGCTCCTGTCGGCCGACCTGCTGAGTCCCCATCGCGCCCTCTACATCGTCATCTTCCACCCGATCCACGAGGACCTCTTCCTCGCCTGTGCCAAGCTCAAGCCTCGGCGGCCCCTCGTAGCCAAGTACACGCCACGCGACACCCCTATTGTCGACGCAGGTATACTGACTTTAGGAAAAACCATCTTTCAGGTCTATCTTCAACTCGCGGGGCATCAAGGGCGAGGTGACCCTCGTGCAGGAGACCCCGTTCGACCCGACCTGGGTCAACGTGTCCCTGTCGGCTATCAACGACCTCGAGACGAGGCTGCGCTACCAGACCAAAGTCGCGTACTACCGAATAAACGAGCTGCCCCAGGAGCCGAGCAAGTTCCTCGAGGACGTGGTCGAGCCGTGCTCCACGACCAACAACCTCTACGATCCCCTCAAGACGAACGAGAACGGACAAGTCCCGCCAGCTGGTACACATATATATATGCAATATACGAATGACACGAGAGGATTTTTATACAAAGCATCCCAACTCATTGTGTCTCTGTGTACAGGGTACGGCACGCAGGACCAGTACGCCGTTGGCGACCTCTCTGGTAAGCTCCAGGGACGCAAGGAGGGCTCGCATCACCTCGACATCCTTTCCGGAAGCGCGAAACTGAGCGGCCTCTACTGGGACACTTATCTGCCGCTTTCGGGGATCCACAGCGTCGTTCACCGATCTTTCGTCATCTACAAGTGACCACTATTTTGTTTTCTCCTTGATTCCTTCCCCACACCTCTTTGGCATCATGACATTGGTCCATCCGCGTTTCCAGGAACAACGAGACGGACACTAAATCCAATCCATTGCCGTGGACGTGCGGTGTATTTACGCACCAGTTGCCCAACGGCGCGGGTAGAATGCCAATGATGACGGCCGAGGTGGTCTTCCGATACCCAATAGTCGGTAAGATCGTATTCCGGCAGCCCCGCAACGAGCCCGACATGGACACGACGATCATCGTCGAGCACCTGATACACTCGGACGGTGGTGCCCTCAACAACACCGTTGATCACAGGTACCGCACAAATGCCAAAAATTCAACTCGTATATATCGTTTCCAAACTTGTACACATTATATGTCCAACAGGTGGATGATACACGAGAACCCACCGGGCCAGGACTACTACAATTGGACGGCCAGGTGCCTCAGCGCAGGCGCCCCCTACAACCCGTACAAGGTTGGCATCTCCTCCGTTAGGTATATAAAGTCGATTAAAATGATTGACAATTGTAACTTGCAGATCGAGTGGGATCCCAAACATCCGGAGCTGTGCTCGGCGGAGGGACCGGTCTTCTGCCGGTTGGGCGACTTCACCAGACACGGGACCCTCAACATCGCAGGCAGCAAAGCCGACGGTCTAAGACTGAGCCGCAAGTTGTTTACCGATCCTTTGGTTACTCTGTCGGGGCCGCACACCATATTCGGCAAGAGCATCGTCATATACGACGACCACGGCCCCAAGGCTCGAGGGGAGCGCCTCGCGTGCTCGACGTAAGCTTGCGACAGTTACCTTGGATCGTTTAATGTGCCATACGGTGTATTTGAGTGAAAATTTTGTTGCGCAGAATCACCGGGTTGCACAGGAGAAAAGCGGTGGCAAAGGATTGGTTTGGAAACGGCGAGGAGATAACGATAAGCGGGAAACTGGAGTTCGTCCAGGAGAGCCCGTACGACGTGACGGATGTCGAAGTCGACCTCGAGGGTCTTAACGGCAAAATGAGCGGCTACCACGTCCACATGGTACGTGTGCAACGAGTGACGTGTGATATATTGTTATCCTTCGATTTTGAAATCTGACGGACGAGTTTTTCCTTGCCTGGTATAGACACCGGTGGAGCTGGATCTGGAGTTCCCGTGCGACGACACGACGCTCTACGGGCACTGGAACCCCCTGGGTGTTAACGCGAGCGCCTCCCCGCCACCAGCTGCCGGTAGCAACGATCAGTACGAGCTGGGTGATTTGAGCGGCAAATTTGGAACCCTCGACGGTAGGAAGCGCTACGCGGTGGCTTACAACGATACCCAGCTGCCGCTCTTCGGGCCCAGGAGCGTGCTCGGGCGCAGTATAGTCGTTCACAAGAAGGAGAAGAACGCCAGGTGCGGTGGGAGGGAATATTATTTTTTGGGAAAGGATTCCAGCGGATTCGTAAAAATTACACGTGGCTTTGGTTGCAGGTGGGCTTGCACGACGATAGAGCGCGGGTATTCGCCTTCAGAAGCTCGGGAGCTCAGGGCCATCGCTTCGTTTCACCATCCGCAGGGATTTGCCTATGGCTACATTCGCATGGTTACTTTTTGCTATTGTTAATCTCGTGCTCCCACTCGATTGAGCATTTATTTATAATAATTTATTTTTTTTTTTTTTTTTTTAAGCCAAAACTANTTGTATCGCCTTAAGTAAAAGGAATGCACTTGCATCGTATTATGAATTTTAATGTATGATTTTTTTTTAAAAATTTTTTTTTTTTTTTTTTTTTTTAACCCAGTGGTAACCCCCATCTAAGATTGTACAAATCAATTAAATCTCGTTGCAGACTCAGCTGATTTACAATGACGGTAGTCAAAGCGACACGACGATTGAAGTCAATCTTCGCCATCCCGGCAAACACGATCGTAATGTTGTAAGTGTCTTTATCGCTTGTCAGGGTCAGGATATGCAAAACAGAGAGAGCTACATTTTTTTATGTTTAATGATATGGGCACTTTTATTTCAAGTTATTGAAAAGAAAAAAAAAAAAAAAAAAAAAAAAAAAGAATTATACATACAAATGATGGAAATTACCTTTTAGACGAGGAACCACAACTGGGCGATATACGTGAACGCCGTGGGAGTCGACGCCACAGTTAAAACCAAAGATACCCGATGCGTGGCTGGAGGTTACAGGTGGAACCCCTACTTTACGCAGCTGGCCGATCCTCTGAACGTAAATACATATACTTTTGGAAGTTTTATCATGAAAAGACATCGAATCCTAAAAAAAAAAAAAAAAAAAAAAAAACCCCAGGAAGACCTCTACAGACAGGAGTGCGGCCCGGATCTTCCTCTGCGTTGCGACGTGGGTGACCTATCGGCGCGCGTGGGACCGATCGACATAGGTCTCGGGCGACGCATCCTCGTGGATTCGAACTTTCCGCTCGAGGGCACAGTTTCGGCCTTGGGTCGTTCGATCGTCATCATGGACCAGGATTTCGGCGGCTACAGGTTCGCTTGCGCCAACATCGAGCCGGACAACGACATCATCAAGTACGCGAATATCCGCAAGCCACCGCGGTTCGTTGCGTAAGTGTCCGTTTGAACGTATTCATATACAATGCGATTTGTTTTATTTTTCAAATCAAAGGATTTAAACAATTTTTTTTCTCCAGGGCCCAGTTTTTGGAGGACGTGCGACAAGTTATGGGGATTCCCGAGTGGATGCTGTCCATCGACAGTAGGAAAACCAAAATTCTACACAACGGCGCATGCGTACAGTTTTTGATGCACTTTAAGGGTACACAACAAGCACATTAAGCTTCTTCTTTTTTTTTTTTTTTTTTTTTTTTTTTTTTTTTTTTTTTTTTTTTTTTTTTTTTTTTT